TATAAACTATACTTTAAGGAGTAATTTCATGGTAAACGTTAGAACCACTCAAACGGAATATTATCATATTTATCCAAGTACACCAAAAATTTCATTAGTGCTTTTAAAGTGCAAGATTTGCGGTGTACGGAGTACGGAGTACGGTAGTACGGAGGGTATTTATTTAGCAATGCAGAATAATAATTTTTATTTATAAAAACTTGTATTTAAACTGAATGCTTTTCTAATTTGCGAAACCAAATAGCCGCCATTTTGCGGCAGGAGGAGCGCATCGCGTGAGCGGATATGGTGGTTTCTTTGTTTACAAGTGGTCACGTCAGTTTAACAGCTCAAACTGGATATGATCACAACACAGATACTCACCGGGCACGGATGCTTCGGTGAGTATGACAAGACCTCACATATGAGTATAGAGTTTTAGTCCTCTTCGCCAACGGGTCACCCAACACAACGTTTAACTCCCCTAATTGAAATCGGCTACTTAGAGCCACATAATGGGCATACTCCATTGAATGTAGCATATCTTCAAGTTTGTTACAGAATTGACATAGTGGGGATGCCGTCTTTTTATTAGATGGTGGAACTTATTTAAGGGAAGGTGGCCAGTGCGCAATAGAAAAGCCACAGAATAAACGTTTTACCTATCTAATCGTGGATATAGAAGGGGCAGCAAATTTAAGACTGGCCCCGGGCGGCAGAAATCGAAGCTACGCTCCTACGCAATTTAGATCCGTAAAATACTTTCATTTCCAATTTTATATGAATCTGAGTTAAATATATTCGTGATTTTTTTCTTAATTTTTTCCATAAAACACACAAACACTAAGCAGTGCTTGTCATAACTAACGCATTTGTATTTCGAGAACTTTCGTAATATATGCACCTAAAGTTTTATTGTCGCCTAAAAGAATGTCTACTCTGATTTTGCTTAACAATACAACTGAAATTTTTAAGTTTATTGAATATAACGATGTTTGACCACCATGATATTCAATTATTTTTGTGAAATTACTCCACCAGTTTGTAATACTTATTAATACAAAGATCGAACAGTTTTTAATACCAGTAGAGCTTCTTGTACCTTACCTATTTCTGCCACCAAGCAGTAATGTCAGCATTACTGTGTTCCGGTCTTAAATGGTAAGGTGCTAGTGAAATTACAGGCACTTGGACTTGTCAACTTATATCTCAGGGTGAACGAGCGCAGTGGTAGTGCACCTCAGACCTTTGCAATTTAAATCACTTAGTGGCACTGTAACTGTTACGGACAGGCGTGTAGCTTACCATCAAACTTGTTCATCCCGTCACTTGATGTTATAAAAAAATAGAACACTAAGAAAAATTCATTCGATCCAGCTGGATTCGAACCAACATCTTCCAGCAATCCGCGACAGACGCTATGCCAACTAAGCCACGGAACGAACTACCGGACCTTACGTATTTTTCTATATGCTTGTTGCAGAGCTTTGTTTGTGGTTTTTAACGAATCCAGCCGGATCGAAAGAATTTCTAGTTAGTGTTCGATCTTTGTATTATTAAACAGAAACTAAATAAGATTTAAAAAGAACCGCTTGTAGATCTTGTTTCGCTGGTTTCAGATATGTATCTAAAAATGTCGATTACGTTAGTTATCATAAGGAGAGCAGCTGATCAAATATTTTGTATGGTAAACTGTATTTATTTTCATTGCATGAAATTTCAAATAAAAAAAATCTTTGTTAACAGACAATGGGTAATCTGTTCGTGTTCATCCTTGGAGACTTGCTGCCGTTCCGCACAGCGCTGTGGATCATGCTGGCAGTGCCGCTGGTGCACTTTTGCATTCTGCTCAGGTTGCCCGAGACACCGAGTTACTTGATCAAGTGCGGAAAAAATGAGGCAAGTCTTCATAATATATTTTCTAATCTGCTCCCTTTCTTTGAGGCCATTATCGTCATCATGATCCATTGTCAACTACAGACACATGGAACTGAAAACTGTTTACCTCAGGGTGTACTCAGACCTTTGAGATTTAAAGCTATAAGGCTGTTATCGGATTGACTGAATGTTTGCAGTTAATGTGTGAAGTCATAATCAACTTCACGCAACCGAGATCGCGACTGCATGACGTTGATAACGATTCCACGCATTAACAGCATGCAGGCAATCTCGGCTGCGTGAAGTCGTTATCAGCTTCAAGCAGGCGAGGTCTAAGCTGCATGAAGTTGATTACGATTTCACGCATTAACAGCAAACTTGCAGTCAATCGGTCAGCAGCCTTAGTAGCACTGCAATACCACGTGGACGATTTGATCATCTCGACGCTATTCATATTACTGTTTGGCTGCAGAAATACGAGTACATATGGTGGCAGTCAGTTGCTACTGAAACTGCAAACACATAGGACTTGTCAATTTTATGTCTCATGGTGACGTGTGCAGTACTAATGCGCCTCCGATTTTTGTGTTAAGCCGACTACTGACGGGACAGGACGGCAAGGAATTTTTAAATGTCGAATAGTAATATACTTTAAGATTATGGCATTGTGACAATTGCAATGATAATGATAGCTGCAAAATAAAGCTGCGGATGCTTAGGGATGCCGAGCCGGTAGCCTTAAGGCCCATTTAGATGGAGAGAGTTTCTCGTCTCGAAGGTACGATAATCGAAAGAATATAAAAAACTTTCCTCGTCTAAACATTCGCTATTATTCTACGTGTGCGATAATCGCCTCGCCTTTCAATATTGAACGTCTCCGTGTAAACACAACTCGAAAGCAAAAATCGTATTTCGAGTTTCTGTGCTAGCCGTTTCTACCACGAGTGCAGTGCGCGAGGGTGTTTTGATTATCACTGCTTTTCTAAGACAAGAATTAATGAAACGAGAAAGAAAAAAATTTTGGATTAAGAAATGTTATAAAATTTGAAAAAAATGTATATTTCTCTACAATGCAATGAACTTAATATTATCAGCAGTTCCAAATTTGAATTATTTTTGCGTCATTTCGATATGTCCATAGTCAATACCGCAGTAATCACTGAACTCGAATGGCGATTCTCGCACTCAAAACGATTCGAACCGATTTGTACGATAATCGTATGAACTTGAAAAAATGTCATACGCGATCGTGTTTAGACAAGTCGAAAACTCGTAAGCAAGAATCTCCTTACTACATATTTCTCCGTATAAACAGTCGAGGAGGCGATTAAGTTGCTTGCGAATCTCGTATGACATAATCGTAGGCGAGATTTTAGTTCTTGCCTGAATGTAAACATTATGATACGATAATCTTATGGCGATTATTGCTTACGATAATCGCCTACGAGTTTTCGTCACGAAGCGTGCGAGAAACTCTCTCCATCTAAATGGGCCTTTAGGGATGCTTCGGCACGCTTAAAGGATGCCGCGGCATGTTTATGGATGCGACATAATTGCAGTCAGTGTGCGCTTGCATGTGGAGATCCCCTGCATTGCCGTCCCGTCAGTTGGCGGGCATAATGCTGTGATTTGTTCGTTCCATCACATTTTATTATAAGAAAATAAACTCCCGAACCATACAACTTGTTTCAAATAAATAGATTCCTAAAAGCAATCTAGGCACAACGTAAACAAAATTCGAAATAATAATTTTGTTTACTTACTAAAGTTATTCCTAGAATAATATAATTTTCATCATCATCAAAAACGTGACCATAGTCAATAAAATATCGAATATCCAATCTGTTTATTTGTCTCTAGATTACATCTTATCTTATTGGTATTTTAAAACTCCTTGGAAGAAAAAAAACAAGCTGTTCCAGCCACTTTGTGCCATTTCCAAACCGTCTTTCCAATTTCAGAACAAAGATTTTTTTTGTTTTCCTCGTAAATATATGTGGGTGAACAGTACAACTATTTTTAACTGACTTTAAAAAAGAGGAGATTCTCAATTAGACTGTATTTTTCTTTTATTTTGTATTATATGTCATTACGCCGACATTTGAGAACCGATTTCGATGATTCTCTTTGGCTAGAAAAGGGGTACCTCAGTAGTGGTCCTATGCAAATTTAGAGAAAATTTCACCTCTAAGGGGAGGAATCCGGTTTATTGGATTTCACCTACTTTCCATTAATCGATTTAAAAAAAAACTGTTTCAGTAAATACATATAAATAGCCAATAGGTGTAATTCCAGAAACTGCATAATTATTTAATACATAGCTTGACAATCTTTGGATTTCAAAATGCGCAATAGTAGCGAAGAGTTCGTCCGCGGAAGTATTGCCACCTTACCTATTTCTGCCGCCAAGCAGTAATGTCAGCATTACTGTGTACCGGTTTTGAAGGGTACGAGTGCCGGTGCAATTGCAAGCACATGGGACTTGTCAACTTACGTCTCAGGGTGACGAGCGCAGTACTGCCACTGCCCCTCAGACCTTTGCGATATAGATACCATCAGGCGCACAACTTGTTCGTCATCACTTGATATTATTATTTTAGAAAAATGCGCCTAACAACGAATTTCCACGTCTAGACAATTGCTTATACAAAAGGGACAAATACAAAGAAAAATTAAAATAAAATATTTTTCCTTTAACTAAAGTAATCAGCCTCAAGCATTTAAGATCCACTCTGCATACTTGCAAGTCGATTTTAGTGCGTCCAATCTGCACTAAATGCAAAGGGCAACAGACAGAAATCCAGCGAATGTATATCGGACATGTTGCTTTATTAAACAGAGGGTACAATTTCTTAAAAACGACATTATCAGATGTCTGATTTTAGGAAACAACAAAAGTTCTGGCCTGGCTCCGCTCCCTTCCAGAAGATGACAAAGCGATCACAGAAGAAGTGGACAGGCTTGTTGGAGAGCAGACTATTGAACCAAAATTTTCACCGAGATTACTGTGTAAGTACCTTGTTTTTCGAGTTCTTAGGTTTTCGCTATTGTTACACATGGAAATGGAACTATTTTTTTTTTCGCAGCCAAATCGCGTGTATTTGTATTTTCAAACGAACAAACAAAGAAAAAAAGGTTTCCTGACGTTAGCAGGAATATACATTTTAGAAATATGCCACTTTGTACGTAATCGCAGTTTTTTTACCAAAATATCCAACAAGGACCGTCTTGTCCTCCCTGTAATATTTATAATGTAACATTTTGAATGTAACGTGTATATGCAAATAAATAAATAAATAATAAAAAGCACGATCTTTGACAACAGCACTTATGTAACGGCAATCAAAATTTATAACAGAATCCCGATTGATATTAAACATCTAAATGGTAATCAATTCAAGGCTCACTTAATTTTGAAGAAATTGCACTAACATCCCATAGATGGCATTACTAGTTTACTCGAAGAACTAAAATTATTACACATTAATTTGCTAAAAGCTCATTATTTCTAAATTTAATTATTTAATAATTATTTACTAAAAATCTTTGTTAATTGACAATGGCTTCTATAATTTAAGTGAATTTTATAAAGTGACATCAAATATTTGACAAATGTGCATTTTTAAATTCTTTTTTGTTGAGTTGATATTCAATTATTTTTTATGTGAAATTACTCCACTAGTTTGTTATAATTATTAATACAAAGATCGAATACTTAGAAAAATGTTCGTTCACGGTTCGTTCCGAGACTTAGCTAGCATAGCGTTTACCATGGTTTGCTAGCAGAAGTCGGTTCGGTGTTTGATATTTGTATTAATAATTATAACAAACTAGTGAAGTAATTTCACATAAAAAGTAATTGAATATCAATTCAACAAAAAAACGACATTCCTAGCCGGGGTGGTAGCTGTAAAGGTATCTAGCTAGGTGATGAAATACTTTCATAAATTTCTCATAGATGGCGCTACGGCTAAAAAGTTGTTGAAAAACCAAATACAAAGATACCACAACAAGCACATGGAAAAATTCGTGAGGTCCGATGGTTCCTTCGGTAGCTTAGTTGGCATAGCGTCTGACACGGTTTGCTAGAAGACGTCGGTTCGAATCCGGCCGGATCGAAGGAATTTTTTCTAAGTGTTTCGATCTTTGTATTAATAATGTGCATCATGTTTAATATAATTTTATTTTTTGAACGTTTAAATTTATAGTATATCTTAATTGAATTGTAATTACTGTAATTTTAAAACATTGTTCGCCCGATTTGGGTAAGAACTGCGAAACAAATGTATGCATACATATGTAACATCTTAATCTACCAGTTCATACAATAAATGTTTCTAATTTCTGATTTCTGAACGAATCTACGTTTCGGGCCCTTTACAGTTCCCATAATCACGTTTAACTGAGGTGATAAAGTCATCAACCAGTTTTGTCTAATGATAATGCAAACTACCCCATTTTTAACTATTGTTAACTATAAGTTATTAATTAAATACTTTATTTATATATTTTTTTCAAAAGTACATTCCAATTTACGCTACATACTTGTTTTACAGTTTTTTTCTTTTTTACAACATGAATTGTTATTAAATTTTTATTATTAATTAAAAATGGTATTTAATTAGAATCATTTTTAAACATGCCAATTAGTACAGCTTGAGATTTTTCATCAGAGGAAATACTGGATCCCAAACTGGTGGTACAGAGAAACCATCCTCCCTGTTGAAATAAGATTTTTTAAATAATTTGTGGCCTCTCGATCCTGGGTAGATAACGGACTACCATTGAAAGGATCTGAGGTTTGTCGAACTTAATTAAGTGTCTAGGTTTATCCATGTCATGCTCGCAAACTACAGACTTATTTACGCGGCGGTGTTTGACATCAGCTATCTTATTTATTTATTAAAAAATTTACGCGCATTTGACCTCCATCTCACCTGATCCAAAGTGACAATGAAGTCGACGATGGAACATGCCTACCTAAATAAACCTATTCACTCTCGCCTTATACGAGCCCAAGTTATATCGTTCAGGGAACAAGTCTGCTGGCAAGAATTCAGTGGCCAGGACGGGCCTTTTGTTTCCATCGTGGCTAACAACGGTGGATCATTGTCGAGATTCGGACAAAAATATTAACAGTGCTGTTTGACAACCAATTCCGGGATTCAAGATTATTTTCATTTCATTTTAACAATATGAATTTTTACTAAAATATTTTTTTAGGGAATTAGAAATGAAATAAATAAATAAATAATAATAGTAAATAATAATAATAAATAAAGTATTTATTTCAGTAATACAAAGAGTGTCAAATAGTTTTAGGACTGCTGAATTTAGAGAAGACACAGCCTCATCGACTGTCAATGCTGACAAAGTAGGCCCCTAATCAATAGTCCGCGCGTCCTCTTTCAATACCTCCTATAGGTACCTCCTATTGAGCTTATCAAGTCGGTCAGGAGCCACCGCTCTTCCATAGCTATAAAAGCACTTTAATGTTTAATTTTTACATTTCCAAACAACGTCAAAACAAATATTTTTTTAACAATCTTCAACATTCTTAACTTCTAATTTGAATCTTAAAACGTATGTGTGTGTTTGTTGTATGTTTAAAGCAAGTGTTCTAGTAGATCTTCCGTTTCCTCATACGATACTAACATAATATGTTTTATTTTATTATTAATAATAAGTAATGTAAATACTACAGTTAGAATAAAATATTTTATGAAGTCGTATATAGCGTAAATAATTAGAATGTTTTTTTAGTACATTAATTTAAAAATCCGACCAGAAAAGTTTGTGGAATTACATCTATCTAATTACATCTATTTGCCAAGTTTTATTGAAATCGGTTAACGAAAAGTGGGTGGAATTCGTTAAACCGGATCTATCCCCTAATTTGCCAACTGTAGCAACTATTAAGACGTGCCTGAATACTAGAAGATGGTTTGACATTCACGTCTTAGTGGCTGCCATACCACTCTTAAAGGTGGAATATTTTCAACTACTACTACTGAGGTACCCATTTTTCAACAAGATAGAAACTATCGAAATCGGTTCACAAATGTCACAGAATCGAAACCTGTTCTTTTCTTGAAATTGGTTAAAAATAAGTACTAGTAATATTTAAATTAACCACTTTTGTAACTACACTTCAGAATGGTATGGTTTGCAGTAATATTAGACACAACTGTATATCGTGATTTAAAGCTCCTAGGCCGGTTCAATTGTCGTGAATAGGCGTATCGCTTGTCACCAGTGATTAGGTTAATTTACTTATAGCACAGATTACTAATAGTTACTAGGTAACAAATACATCACACTCATACAAAATCGGAAATATCTACGCCATAATAGCCTACTAAATCTGATTAATGATACCAGGCACTCACTACGAAGAAAAAAGAACCTAAGGACGCGCTCAGAGATGTGAAAAAACGTTGCCCGCCGTGTGCACTCGTGCGGTGCCGAATGCTCATAAATGATATCATAGGATACGGTCATAGGATATGGTCATATCATAGGATATGGTCTCAGTAGCTACGGACGAACATTCAAATCTCATCTTGATCTTATATACGACTTACAATTAAGAATACTTAAAAAAATTGTGCCACATAAAATAAAACAAAAGTATATGGACGATTTCACCAAATTGTTTACATTCTGTGAAATACTTCCGATCCATGAAAAAGTTAAGTATGCCTTGTTAGTCGAGCAATTCTTCAATAAAGATTTACAGTTACAGCAAATAAGGAAAAACCCAGCCAGAACTAATATACAACCGAAGCTTATATTACCCAGATGTCAAAATCAATACGGTTATAATCAACTTACTTACAAAATACCATACCTAATTAATGAATTACCAATTACTCTAAAACAGGAAATCAACCATCAAAACATAAAAACCAAGATCAAAGAGTACTATCTTGAAAAAATAAGTTAAAAATTATATAATTTTTCGTTTAAAAAAAATAAAACAAATAAATAACAAAAACTGCAGATATAATGTAAAATGCTAAACTAATCCGATTATTGCACTATTTATTATTATATGAGCATTTATAGTACTTATTTATTATTTATATAACTTACAATAATATTATTATTTAAAAAAAAAAAGTAAATAGAATTACCATACTAACCCACACACAATAAAAAAAGAACACACTGTACTAACCGACTCCACTCACAAAAAAGTAGCCTATTCATTCACACTCAAGTTGAATCACACTACGCACACCACCAACCATTCGCACTTAATACAAAAGAAACATAGGTATGAGCAAAACAAAAATCTACCCGCTTTACTATTAACACAGTCAGACTACCGCCGACGAATATAACGACGTACGGGAAAACCTACAGTTTATGTTACATTGTTTTTAAACATAGTTTGTATAATTTTATGTAATAAATAAATAAAATAAATAATAAAACTGAAAGACTTGTATGAGCGCTTGTGCCGACGTCGGTACACTTAGCGGTTGCCACGTATCGCGTACGCATTTCGTCATCAATGCGAATTTTAATCGGATCGAAGGAATTTTTTCTGAGTGTTCGATCTTTGTATTAATAATTATAACAAACCGGTGGAGTAATTTCACATAAAAATAATTGAATATCAATTCAATAAAAATTTCAATACAATAACTAGCGACATCTCTAGCCGGGGCTGGTAGCTGCAAAGGTATCTAACTGACGGAATATCATAGATTTCTCATAAATGGCGCTACGGCTAAAAAGTCGTTGAAAACCCAATTGCACAGATACGACGCAAGCACATAGAAAAATTCGTGTGGTCCGCTGTTTCTTTTTGCTTAGTTGGTATAGAGTCTGACACGGTATGCTAAAAGACGTCGGTTCGAATCCGGGCGGATCAACGGAATAACATAAAAAAAAAACATTTACTTTTCACCCTTAATATGTATGAGTAGGCCGCTGGTACATACCATTACTTACCCCTTCACAGTAACATTCTTGAATTTTCCTGTCAAAACATTACCGCTGCGCGATGACGGCGTAACCTTTTAATTGGAAAAGTTAGAAAATTCCACGTGAAATTTGATCGTTAACATTTTGAAAAGCTGTTAATTGTTATTCATTATCTAAGTATATTAAATTTTCGCAACGTATATGTGATATATAATATATATAGGGTGTTACCAAATATGTGCGTCAATATAGTGGTAGCTGATCGCCGCAGTGACGTTCTGTTTGCCACAAAAGATCTCCATTACGGACAATGTCGTTTTTTTCATGCGCCACATTAAAAAAACGACATTGTCATCTTTATATTTAATGAGTTATACGCCATGCTTTCGCTTGCCCCCCTTGAGTTCCGAATTAAAGATGCGCTTTGCCATTCGCCCCTCTGCCATCCTTGATATGTGGCCGCCCCAACGAAGAGCAATAAATAGCGTTTATTTCTGAAACCCTGTCAAACCTACATGGTCTCTCCTAAAGATTGCTGTCAACAGAAACAAATAGTCCGAATTCCGATATCGGACGAGAGTCGGATCTTTGATTTCTAACATCGAGCCGACGTACAAACCAGGAATACAAAGTCATCAAGGAGATCAAACATATCGACCGGCGACCTACCCGAGTCCCGCCATTTGACACCAGCCAATAATTACCAACCGAATTATTGCTGTACAAATTGAAAATAATGCCCCAAGCTCAGAGCCAAGGCCAGTAACTGCGCAAAGAGGTCATACCCAATTGACACAATAAATCTGTTTGCAAAACATCTTTTCTATTTATTCACCGGCACGTTTTGTTTTGTTTAACGGATCCCTGGGTAGAACTTTCTAGAGAATACACTATGCGTACAGGGCGTAACCAACTTTTTTTATGATTATCTTGTGATGAACATACCTACTGTACCTACTGCTGCAGTGTTCCTGAAATTGTAAAGATCGGAGGAGCACTGCTAGTGCGCTCGAAGCTCTAAGATAAAAAGTTGACAAGCTTCTAGTTTCATCAACACACGTTAAAAACAGATTACTTAGAAAAAGACAAAATTCTTTATATGAAGACAAATTTATTAAATCCAACAAAACGATCCTCTCCCTATAGATGCTAGAGAATAATTACTTGATAATAGTGAAAAAACGTCTCAAAAGTGTATTTTAGTTATAAGACAGAAATATTTAATCCAAGAGCAAATTAATTTACTTCAAGTCACAAAGCTACTCTAGATTCAACAAAATATTGATTAGTTATTAGAAATGTAGAAGATTTATGTTTTCTAATATGAAAAAGCGTAAATTTACAGGGTTATGGACCCAACAGTATGTCTCAATAGCGTGAAAGCACACAGTTCAGTGCCAAACTTTAAAGTAGCAGAAATAGGACGGAATCTTCTCAAATACTTGAATACCGTTCAGAAAGCACTAACAATTCAAAATATATGAAATGACTTATACTATTGAAGTTAACAAAACGATAGCGCGGTTCAGAGTACAATCTAGCAGCGGCGCGATGGAACTAATTGCATGTTGAAGTTGTACTTGTTACAAGTGTAGTTTGATTTCATGCTGAAACCAAATTTCTTAAATTATGACTACAAATAACACACTTAGGGTCGTATTCCAGAACTCTACTCAATGCTCAAGACAGAACTTGAGTATGATTTCAAGCGAAGTTTTTATTCCAGAACATTACTCAAGCGTCGAATCTGTAATCAGAGTTCACCTGAGTTACATATGTCAGAGGAAGTGACAGCTTGCATCTTAATTTTAGAACAATGCTTGAGATTCGTTTTAGTTTTACAGTTTTCTAAACGGTATTTAACTGTAGAATCTTGTCTTGAGTGTTGTCAAAATCTGTATTTAATTGAGTCCTCACTCAATTAAATACAGATTTTGACAACGCTCAAGCGCAACTAGGACCTCTCCTAGTTGCGCTTGAGTAGATAATAATCGGCGAAAAAATTACAAGATTACGATGAAACCATTTGAGAATTTTGATCTTTATCAAAATATATCAATGATGAATATCATACTCAATTGCTTCAGATGTTGAAAGACCTACAAGATCCGCACGTCATGGAAGATTTGGTAAAAAAATTAATTTAACCTATCATAGCAGATGAGTGAAATCAGACAACTGTGGTTACCCAATCGCACCTGAAATACAGATTCT